GCTATTTTGGTTTTGTGTTTGAGCAATTCTGTTATTGGTAAGATGAAAAAGGCCCTGTAGAGATTCCTCTTCTTCTAATAAGCAATTTCCTGTGCCTAAAATCAAGAAGAAAGGTCAATGACCTTATATTAATCAATGCACTTAAGATCACCTCATTTGCATAACAAATGGTAGCCATTTTGCGGGGTTTCCAGGTTTCAACAATCAGAACTGATTTTGAAATGTCTATATTTTGATGGCTAATGCAGGTTTGTGAAAAATTTTAACAGATTCCTTATTTTTCAGGAAGGGTCTTTCAGTAAATGAAGAAATGTAGTTATCCCTTTTGGATTTTAAAATCACTTGGTGTGCCTAGTTCATGGCGACAATGACATTCTGCCTGATACACCTGGAACAGGGGATGAACATGAAACTGTGAGTAATCTCTCTCTTGCCAATATGAAGTGCCTAATGAAGTCATGTCTATGTGAATTGGAGAAAGAAGTTTCTGGTATTACTGTAACCACGTCATCCATTTTAAAGGAACAAAAGACAGGGTTCTCCCCACGCTGGACGGCGGTGGACGGCGCCGTCCGGCACTCAGAATTAGCGACCGGCACACGTGGCTGCCGTCCGGCACTATTGTTTTTGTCCAGGACGCAACAAACGCTCTGAGAGACAAAAGAATGTTTGAGAGGGCAATAAGCTTGGGTTGTGTCACCAATTAAAAAAAACAATGGGCGTAAAACTCAACTCAATGAGTTAGCGACGTAAGAGGCCCAGTGGCAATCGACACTAGTAAGTGTGGAACCCTACTTAGCATGGCGGTAACGCATAGAAAAGTGGATTACCGTACTCATATTTATACTGCCAGGGTGACGTCAAATATATAAAATCGATATCGGTAAAACCATTCGTCAAAATATAAGGTCAATGGTTAAAACCAAGTTAACGCCATGACTTGTAGTGGCAACATCGTCACCGCCGAGCGGAACAAAGGCAGCCATGCATGATCGGTAAACGTTGAGTGGAAACCCCGGAAAACACTAAACCTGTCGAAAAACACTAAACCTGTCGAAAAACACTAAACCTGACAATAAAAACACTAAACCCGAGGTAAAGGGTGTATTATGGGTGTACCATAATCGTCCAATGAATATTTGATTAAAAGAAAGCGAAAACATGAAACAGAACCCACGACGGCAGCTGATTTCACAAGGGCGCCCTCAATGTAATCTAAACCCTAACCCTAACCCTAACCCTAACCAATTGCCAATATGCCAATTGCTGTGTTCATAATTTGTAAATATATAAATAAATAAAATAAAATGTTTGGTTTGGGGCGCGATATACTAGTATCTAACATAGAGGGCGTCCTGCTGCCAAATCAGCTGCGGCCCTGACCTCGATCATAAAGGGATTTTTCTTTAGCTTTCTTTTCATAAATACTCAACTGAACGATCATGGTATATCCATAATTCGCCCTTTACGAAGGGTTTAGTGTTTTTTCAACAGGTTTAGTCTTTTTCAATAGGTTTAGTGTTTTTCAACTGGTTTAGTGTTTTCCGGGGTTTCCACTCAACGAATAGAAACCTACTTTTAGACTATAAACTAGAGACACAATAACTCCCACACACAATCCTACATACAATCTAGGACAGTCAATGTTATCGGCCACCATTATACAATAAAGAGTATTACGTCACTAAATAGCAAGCCGGAAACCATTTCGAGATTCGATAGATCCATACCAGTGACTATTGCACTGAATTGTTAAACGTCTCTCTCTTAAACTGCTTTCAGAGGTCAAGATTAAGTTCATTTTAAGGTCAGTTGGACACACAGCTGCCACAGCAAATGTGTCGAGGACCGAAGCCTGGGGTCTAGAGAGAAACACAGTCTCAATACATTTTAAATTATAAAATAACATGCAACTTATACTTAATATTTCAAATCATCTATTATTGCAACATCAATATACCTGAATCATTGAGAAGTTGGTGTATTTAGTCAAATACCCGGAGTTCTTCCGATCGCCTCAGATATGTTGCGAATATCGATGTCATACTTTTCTGTTGACTTCCTGTGACCTCATAGTTCAACTCTGCACTCTGACCTACCGATCACATGATTACAATCACATGACGTTAGTTGTGCTGTATAAATCGTATGTAAGACATGTACATGTATATTGTGAAGTATATTGTCACTGGAGTATCTTGTACAAACGTCACTGTGCTTATTTAGGAATTACCGAACATGATATAATCGAACATCTCAAGACATCCTTCAAATGACAGTTAACCAGGTCTTATGAAACATAAGCAGAAGGCATGGAATATAATGAAGACGCCGGGTATGATGTAAAGACTGCTTCTGAGCTCGGTTACGCTACTAGCGCAGACGGAAGGGGCGTAAACCACGAAGATAACAACCCACTGCTGACCGATATTGTTCCAAATTCTTTTGATGACCAAGACACGGCGGTATATAAACGGCGTTGGTATATTCTGATCACGTTTTCGTTAACGGCCTTCACACAGTCGGCTGCTTGGAATACGTGGGGACCAATAGCGGATACTGCCAAGTCCGTCTTAGGATGGTCAGCGGCTGACATTGCATTGTTAACAAACTGGGGTCCTATTGGATACATTCCAACTGCGTTATTTTGGGCATGGCTTATGGATGTCAAAGGTAAATGAATTACTTAATTGTTTATTTATTTGTTTGTTTGGTTTGAGTTCAAGTTTACCAGCTAATTTAGTATTTTTTTCTGATTCCACGTCGTAAGAAAACAGTGATTCGTTTGAAATATTCTAACAATTCTAACATTTTTTCCATTAAAATAAGGAAGTACAGTGGTTCTGATTATTTGACATTCTAGAATAAAGCAGACAGGTATTTTGATTTTACAAAGACGGGTTTGGAATTAATTCTTGTGCGTTTCACCAAGAAAAGAGGTTTAAACTTGTTTTTAAAATCAGTATTTGATTTAGCAGAACACTCGTATGTTCTACCTAAACCAGCAATGCCCTAAGATTTCCATCCGTGACGTCACTGACAAATCAAGTAACTCGTGCGTATACTCATCGTATCAAAGTTCACTACAAGACACATTTCAATATAATCTATTATTAATATGTTTTTATAAAAAACGTGCTGTTCAGCATTACATTAGTTACACGGAAATGAGGTCAGATAATCATTTTGGGTGTTTACTCTGTGACGTCATACCCAATACACCTATAATGTGTATATTGTGTGGATATTGATATCCAGAATTGGTTCACAGGAGCTAAATGAAAGTCCGAAACTTGAAACTACAGATCTTTTAAAGCAATATTTGGTTTTGAAGAATATTTATCCAATATAGACAAAAGCTGTTTACTTGTATGTAGCTTTCGAATTTCAGCCCACAATTTGTATATTTAGACAGGAAGAAGAGAAAATGTACCAAGAATAGATGGATTATGTAAATTCTGTAAGAATCTTGTTGAAGACGAGTTTCATTTCCTACTTTATTATCTACGGTATTGAATTTAAGAGAGAAATATATTCCACCATACTATTTTAATCACCCAGACGTACAAAGTTTATACAGTAATTGAAAACCAACAACAAACAAAAACAAAGGAACCTTGCACGCTTTTTACAACACGCATTGTTAAGTACGGGGAGTTGAGAAATAATTATTTTAATTATTATCTATATTGATGATAAATTTTTTATTTTCATTTGTTAAATATACTTTCTAGTGTTCAATAGAATTACTTTATATTTTCACATTTGTACATAAGGCGGGTGGCCAAAGTATCATTTAAAGTCAATGAAGTTAATTAAATTTCAGCTCATACATCAGAGAACCATTTTCGTTTTTATTTGTAGGCATGAGGGTGTCCTCACTGATGGCATCGGCGTTAGTTGCAGCTGGTTTAGCAATACGATGCATACCAGTCCCAATGCATCTCATGAAACTGTAAGCTATTTTAAATACTCAACAATGTCCCACGAATTAAAGTTTGTATTAAAACCAAAATTACTGTGGGTCACCACCTTATGGAATTATAATAGCATTTCCACGGCACAGACGATGTGGCAAATCAGTATACATTCTGTTGTTTATTTAAGACGGATGATTTACTGTAAAACACGTTGAAATTGCTACATTTTTGCATATTTGACTCAATGCATCCATTAACAAAACTTTAATTTAGTGCCAGTTATCTCAGTGTGAAAATCTACGTTCTTTTAAATTAGCGACATCTTGAAATAGCAAAATTATGGATTAGCTAAAATAGTAGACTTGCATACAGTCCCTTGTTCATTTTTTTGTTGTATTTTTCAATGAAATAAAATGTTATGGGAGTGTATAAATGGCGGTAACCTCGATTTTCGCCATTTATACAGTAACACTCCCATAAATTTTTATTTTATTGAAAAAAAAACAAAAAAATAAGGGACTGTATTCAAGTCTACTAAAATAGCTAAATAACATGCTAGCTAAAAATACGTGTTCTACAGGAATACGTAAACTGAACAAACAAAAGAACAAAACTTGTTGACTGATAAAAAAATGTACAAAACAATGCTACTAGTGGAAAGTCTAGCGAACAATATTGTTCTATGACTCAGTGTCTTCACTAATCTCGAAATAAAACCAATTTCCGCAACTTGAATTTTGAAGCTATAATGTTCCTGGTAACTACCTCCACATATCGCGGTTACTAGAACCGTGCACATATGAAAGAGGGATGAACGGATACGAAACCGTACGAGCGGACGATGGGTTCCCGTCTTGTACCACAGTTCAGTAAGATCTATAGAATAAAATTCATAGACGTTTAATATAGCTTTATTTATATTATATACATGAACACGTGTTCACTTGGTTAGAAACAAACATGACACTAGACAGTACACATTTTAGAAAACCTTTTATTTAAATTAGACACTTCACTTCCTGAAGCACCCGAATGTTCGTAATATTTGCTCAAATTCAAAACGAACATCGTTAAAGTTCGATGTCCATTTTACATTTCAAGTCGACTATGTTAATTTCTGTTTGTAGTATTTGTCAAGTTAGTCGTATTTACTTTTTGATACTGTTGATCTATTTAAACTTCCGTTTTACTGTAATAAATTAGTCAATTTCATTCTCAACTCAGTGCCGTTCTCACAAATCTAATTCCATAAAGAATAATTCGCACATGAAAAAAATCTGTGAAAAATCAGTCCCAGTGACAACACTAAAAATACGGGAAATTCATCACGGAAACAGAAAAAAAACATTATGTGAAGAAATGTTGCAACATTACACCAAGTCAATACAGTTTGTTACGTCATCTGGATAATGAATGTGAGCGTCCTCTTTTTTTAGACTAGGTTCGGCAATGTTTCTGCCACGTGACACGTACAGTTAACGTGTTTTCGAATATGTTTTTCTATATTCAGACTTTCTGTCGAAAAATACGTCATAACATGCTTTTTACTTAAATTATGTACTTTGTACAAACTCATTTGACCCGTTTCCATACATTCTACTACATGTAGTATATACGTCAAAAACCCTTTGTAGAACTAACACGAATTCTCAATCTATATACATGTACTTGTGCTTATACATGTCTATTCGTCTTCCTGGTAGGACTATGAACGTCGGTCAATGTTTGTGTGGCATTGCTGGTCCAGTACTAATGGCTGGTCCAACAAGTATATCGGTGACATGGTTTCCACCCAATGAAAGAACCACTGCTACCGCCATTGCATCCATATTTGCATATTTTGGTGTTGCAGCATCATTTTTAATCGGACCAATGATTGTTAAAGATAGAACTACAGGGTAAGTCAAAAT